TGATGGTCGGAGACACATGTCTAGACCTAAATCTTCGCCTTGCTTCCTGAGTGGCTTGAGACAAGTCACTTTCCCTGAACCTCAGTTCTCCACGTGGACGCCGTGAATCCTGTGCCATACTCAGAAAGCTCGGAGGCCCCCTCCGGCTTGTAGGAGGCTAAACAGTGGCCACTCAGAGATACCTGGCCCTAATCCATGGAACCAGCAAATGTTACCTTATAAAGAAAAGGGATCTTTGTAGTTGTGGTTAAGGATCTTCATCTGAGATTATCCTGGATTATTTAAGCAGATGCTAAATCAGATCCCGAGTGTCTTTATAAGGGAGAGGCAGGGTGAGATTATACACACACAGGAGAAGGTGCCGTGAAGACAGAGGCAGAGATTAAAGTGACGTGGTCACCAAGGAGTGGAGCCGCCAGCAGAAGCTGGAAGTTCCCAGGAGGGAATGCTCCCGAAAGCCTCCAGAGGGAGGGTGGCCCTGCCGACACCTCGATTTCAGCCCCATGAAAGTGATGTTGCTCTGGCTCCCAGAGCTGTATGGAATACATTCCTGTTGTTTTAAGTTGCTATGTTTGTCTTTTGTTATGGCGGCCGGGGGAAGCGAGTACACTGCCCTGAGCCAGTTGTCTCCACCTGCCCTTGCTTCCCGTCTCTCCCGCGAGGCTCGTGGTCTCACGCGGTGCCTGTTCCAGACAGAACAAGGCGCTCGTCGATCTTAAAGCCTGCGGGAAGGCGAAGTGCTCATTTAGTCTCAGGTTCTCTCTTTCTTTCACTTGGCGTGTGTTTCTGTGGTTGCCACCGACACAATGCAGCCTCCTCCCTCTGCCACTCTCGGTTTCTCGTTGTTGTTGTTGTTGTTCTGAGAGTCAGTTTCCAGCCGAGTATCTTGCAAAAGAAAAGACAGTAATTCGACGACCTCGAGATCATCAGTTTGTGAGTAACGAAGACAACATTCATTTTAGCACCAAGTATATTCATTCAATAAATATTTCTTGAGCATTACTCTGTGCCAGCCATAGGCGACAATAGGGAGCCTGGGACAATGGGGAACCTGACAGGAAAAGTACTTATTCTAATGGGGCTGGCAGTGTAGTGGGTCACACACAATAAAGCTTTTATGAATGTACTCAAACTTCAGTTGCAGCACAATTTTAATTTTCCAAGATTGTTAGCAGAGCGTCAGATCCATCTCTCGGCTGGGTGAACTTCCTCCCAGAATATTCCCTGGCTTGAACTTCTATAAGGGGTCCTGGGAAATATTTTTAGCACTTGGGGCTAAGTAATACATAGCTTGGCTCACAAGAGAGTCCCCTTATTTCTCTAAATTCCACTAGGACATGCCTATGCTTACTTTACCCCTCCAGTCAACTCGGGGCTCTGGGCTGTGAGGAGCGTTGAAGGAATGGAAACACTACGGGGGTGCCCTGGCCGGTGTGGCTCGGTTGGTTGGGCATCGGCCCACGCACTGGGAGGTCACCAGTTGGATTCCTGGTCGAAGTGCAGGCCGGGCTTGCAGGCTCTGTCCCCAGCGGGGGGCGTGCGGAGGCGGCTAATTGAAGTTTCTCTCTCATTGATGTTCCTCTCTCTCCCCGCCTCCCTTCCTCTCTCTTGCTGGAATCAATAAAAACATATTAGAAGGAAAGAAACACTGTGGGGAAGAAAGAAGAATATCCTAATTGCCCTCCTTTGTTTAATTCTCTCCTTGTCATCACTTCTCCACACCCCAAGTGCTCTCAAAAGAAAAAACGAGCAGAGACACTGACGTGCTCTCCTGCCTCCGACGGGCCCCCTCCCGGAGGGTGACTCGGCGTCCTGTGCCCAAACGATGCCCCCTGCCCCGGGGGCTCGGGGGGAAAACCTGAGTCAGGTCTGATGCCTGTTTTCCCTCCGTACCCCACCGCTCGGCATCCCGGCGACCTTCAAAATAGATCCAGATGCTGCTCCTTCTCTCTGCCGCTCACCTCCCCCCGCCCCAGCACCGTCGCTTCCCGTTTGACTGCCTTTCAGTATGTTGACGCTCCTCGTTGCTCCTACGCTTCCCTCCCTGCCCCTCATTTGTTCTCCGCATGGTGACCGCAGAGAATCCTGGCACACTGGGGCCATGCCCAGGTCATCCCTCACTGAAATCTTCCCATATTCAGAGTAAAACCCCCTCTTCCCCAAGGCCAGGAGGCCCTGTCTGATCTGGCCCCTGCCATCCTTCACTCCTCACTTCCTGTCATTCTCTCTTCTTGCCTGCTCTGCCCTTGATGCCAGCCTCCCTGCCAGTCCTCTAATGGCCTTTGTGCTTCTAGATTTCCCGTGGTACCTCTTCTGAGGGGCCTTTTCTAACCACCCAAACTCTAATAGCTCCATGCTTCCAGTAGGGGCCCCTGTCTGCCCCTATGTATCAGTTTATTCGCGTGTCGTCTGCTTCTCAAACTAAATGGTAAACTCTATGAAGACAAGAGGCACTGCTTGGCTCCGTAGCCTCAGCACCCAGAGCAGTGCCAGGCATTTCCTGGTACTCAGTAAACACCTGAAAAAGAAAAGCAAAATGCAGGGGGTACAGTCCATGGGAAGGACTTGAGGCCCTTTCAACTCCAGGAGTCTAGGAGTCTAGGAACACCCAGCAGTCTAGATCACCCAAACAGCGGGTTAGGGTGCTGCTTTTTGAGATTGAGTTGATTTTTCCCTCCCAGAGTCCTTCCTGTGTAGGCAGCTGACGGCAGAGCACACTGAGTTAACCTAGGACATAGTAAGTGCTCAATTAATGTTTGTTGAATTAGCAGTTGGGTTTTTATGATAAGCAACAATATAAACTGCAAAAAAGGATGTGACTGACTACTTATCGCTCTCCTGGTACCTGCATCAAAAGCAGCACCACACTTCTTGGGACACTCTTTTATTTTGTGGTCAGTAGGAAGGGTGGGATAGGAGATCCTTAAGACATTGGCTCCTGGAAATGATCTAATTATTGTAAAGGTTTTTCAGAATCACAGACCTGGGTGGCACTGTAGAACCCATCCAAGGAAAACAGTGAATCCAGTGTTGTCCATAAGATTCTTCATGTGCCCATTAACCCCACCTTCTGGCTACTGAGCTGCTTTTGTGAAGAGGTAGATCATTTATCTTCTGAAGCGTATGTGCTATTATACCTAAAGGCTTCCCATTGATCCCACGTAGTTGCCTCTGCGAATTCTCCATCAGCTGGGAAAAGATCTGTGGTGTGATGACTGGGGGTGTTGGGGGCGATTGCACAGGGTGGTGCTGTGGGCATTTAACAATAATCATTCTCTGTATTTCATGCGTTCAGCTCTTACAATGGAAGTATGGTTATTTCAAGCCAAGCACAGAGAGGGGAGAATTTGGGGATCTGGTGGAGATCACAGTAAAAAAGGAAGCATGCTGACCTTCCAGGGAGAGAAAGAGGCTGAAAGGAAGCCACGCCGGGCTGTGTGGGGCCTGGCACGCACCGCCCTAGGACCCTTGTTTTGCAGTCTGTAGATGCTCTCACGCGCCCTCTTCGTCTCATCCTCACTCCTGCTGGTACCCTGCCTAAGGCCAGTGATTGGAATGAAGTCTTAGCTCCCACCAGCTGGACATGGAACCCAGCCCAGCACCGGGGTGCAGCAGGGAAGTTCATGCTGCAGATTAAAACTGGAACTTTACGTATTTCACAGGAACGTTATTGTAACCTGTGTTAAACATCGTTGGGGTTTCTCTCTAACCACAGTTGGAGCATCCAGGTCTTCAGCTGAGTTGGCAGTGGCATGGGCTCCTGTGGGCCAGCCTCAGAACCCATCACCCAACGAAGAGCATTGTTTCTATGGAAACCTGCAATCTGTGACCCAGATGCCCAGGTTCAAATGTTGCCGTTTTATTTCACGCAGTGTGTGTGTCAGTTGGAGATTGCCAATAGTAGATGAAAATTGGGCTTTTTAAAAACTTGTGGATTTTTTTCATCTAGATTATCCATTCCTGTCAGCCAGAATAACTGGGGACCCTGTATTAATAAAGTACCTGTGTTTAGATGGATACTTCTGGTGTGGCATAATTAGCAAGGCTAAGATGGAAATCCTTCTCCAGCCCTTGTTCATTTGCCTTTCCTTTTATTTCCTGAAACCCTGCAGGGCGAGCCTTGCTGAGACTTACTGACAAAAAGCTTGAGCGAATGGGGATTGCCCAGGAAAACCTCCGGCAGCACATCTTGCAACAGGTGCTCCAGCTGAAGGTGCGAGAAGAAGTCAGAAACCTACAGTTACTCACACAAGGTATCCGCTGCTTTCTAGTGGGTGCATGGAAGGGGAGACTGGAGGGAAGAAACTCTTCCCATTGCGGTGCGGGGGAGCCAGGTAGAAGCTGGCATTGTTTTTGTTTTTGTTTTTACAGCATTTTCTTTATTTTTAAAAGTCTGTAGATTTAAAGGCCACTTCCCTCCTGGAACTTCTCTTTTTCATAGCTCGCTAAGGGGGAAAGATACACAAATAAGTAACGGATGGCTGAACAGTACTGTCTTAGCTAATTTCAAGGTCATCGCATACAACTATGTAGGTTGTGCAATGCACCACGTCAGAGAGCGCCAGTCACATAGATCGGGATATGGTTGCATCCCCTGGAGTTGTACAGTGTACCATCCACACAACCTACAGCGCAGCCTGAGCTGTCCTAGTCGGACTGCCAATTCTGACGGGGCCTTGGAATTGGAGTGATTTCACAGTTCATGTGACCAGTGGCGTAAGTGGGACTTGTATTGTGTTTTATTTTACTTGGCTTTTCACTGACTAATGAGAGAAAACCATTTTAGAGGTATGTATCTATATATGTATACATATACACACACACACACACTTTAGGGTTTGTGAGAACCCTATTTAGAATCTTGAAAATAGAACCATTAAAAAAAATAGACTACAGGGAATTTAAAACTGGAATGTTAAGACCATATAATTCTAAACAAGAACCATTAATAACTTCAATATGTTGAGAGCACTTAAGAGTCCTGTAACTGGAAGTGACAGCATAGAGCTGGAATTTGAAGAAAACCTTAAGTTACACTGGATAGAACTTGTGTGTCCACATAAAATTTGGTTGCTATCAACGTCCATGGGCTATAACCCTTTATTTATTTCATTTTAATGCCCATTGTATATTGTTTTAAATGAAAGGTAATAAGATATGTATTTTTGAGAGCCCCGGGTATTTTTCAATCTGTAGAATACTGTAATTGTACGCATACTGATATTGGAGAAATCTGGGTCAGCCAACTTTCATGTCATTGCATTTAGATTAACCCAGTAATATAGTGCATTTGCCTAGAGGAAGTAATGTACTGTCTGAAAGCTGACTGCCCCAGAAAGATAAATATAAACTTTGAGTGATATGAAAATAGTATTGTTTATTTGTTCTGCATTATTTGTACTTGTCTCCAGAGACTTCCACTGGTAAATATGTAGGTATGGGTACATCGAGTGGTTTAAATTTGAATTTTGACACATTGATATACACTTAAATTTCTCTTAAGAAGTAAATAGAGATTCAGAGATTCATCACAAGAGAGTCCAACACAGTACTATTTATAAAACTGAAAAATTAGAAACAACCTAGAGGTCCAGCAGTATGGAAAGACGTAAACAATTCTGCTTAAATTCAGAAGACCCAGTTTGATGCAGCCATTCACATTACATCGTCAAAGAATATACAGCAACGTGAGATGGTATTTAACTAAGAGGAAGTGGGGGGAAAACCATATATAAAATTTTATATATATGATCCCAATTTTGTAAAAAATCATATTTTTACATGCTCATAGAAAAAGGGCTACAAATGAATATGCCAATATTTTTATAATGGTTCTCTCTGGGTGGTGGGATTATGGGTGATTTGAATTTTTTTCTTTATATTTTTTCGGTATTTTCTAAATTTTCTAGTATAAATCCATATTATAGCTATACTCAGAAAATGCTCACGCATTTTTTAAGCTTCAATCACATGCATCGTTCTGCCAGGTTCTATTTAGTGTCTGAGGTTTCCTCTGCTCTTTGGTTTTCCTCCTGTGATGATATATAAAAAATGAGACCTAAATTTATCACATGTGCGGTGCCTTAGACTTTTTTATCTCTGCTACTGTCAGCCTGCAGTGTGTTTGCTTTGCAAAATCATTTTCTATAGCTTTCATCGCCCTAGATGCATAATATATAAGATTTTTCCTGAGATAGTACTCAAGTCTATTAAGCTAAATATATGTTTGTGTTCTGGGAAGGTAATGCTAAGTTCAGCCTTTTCAATTCCGCTGTTGTCATTTTCTGTAGCTTTGAAAAGCTGTGCGTTTTGAATTCATGCCTTCTGTTCCCTTTAGAAGAGGTCACATTCTCCAGCTCTTGGATATTTTGTCTGCACTCATATTACCTTTTTTATTGCTTGTCCTTTACATGTTAATGTTCAAACTCATTTTATGTCAGGCGGCCTTTAGAAAATCCATAGCCTTACTGAAAAGATGGTTTCTTTTTAAAACATAAAATGCAAAACTGGCAAGTTGTTTTTCGTGGGGTGTTTTGCTTTGTTTTGTTTTGTGTGTTTTATGATAATAGAAGTTCTAAAGACAGCTGGGGTGGCCTTAAAATATTTTGGGTATAGGTTTGCTATAGAAGGATGGAAACTGGACTTTTGGTGGTGAGCAGGCTGTAGTGTATGCAGATATTGAATTATAAGGTTGTATAACTGAAACTTATATAGTGTTATAAACCAATGTTACCTCATTTTAAGAAAAGAAAAAAAAAATTACCCATTAAAAGTCACCCCCCATTTCCTCACAACACCTCCCCCCTCAATAAGCACCAGCCCTTGGAAACCTCTAATCTATTTTTTATCTATTTGCCTGTTCTGGACATTTCCTGTAAATGGAATCATTCAATATGTGGTCATTGACAATTGGCTACTTTCATTCAGGATAATGTTTTTCAAGTTCACCCATGTTATAAGCATGTGTCAGCATTTCATCTCTTTTTATTCCCAAATAATACCCCCTTGCACAAGTGTAACATTTTATTTATCCACGCATTAGTTGATGGACATTTGTTTTGCTTCTGAATCTTGGCTATCATCGGTAATCCTATTTTCAACATTTGCGTTCAAGTTTTGTGTGTGGACCTGTTTTCATTTCTCTTGGGTGTATTCCTAGGAGTGGAATTGTTGAGTCATATGATAACTCCATATGTAACCATTTGACGAGCTGCCAGACTGTTTTCCAAAGCAGCTGTATCATTTTACGTTCCCATAAGCAATGTATGAGGGTTCCAATTTCTCCACATCCTTGCCAACATTTGTTATTGTCTTTTTTATTATAACCATTCTGATGTGTGTGAAGTGATATCTCATTGTGATTTTGATTCGCATTTCCCTGATGGCTAACGATGTTGAGCACATTTTCATGTGCTCATTGACCATTTGTGTATGTTCTTTGGAAAAACATCTACTCAGATTCTTTGCTTAGTTTTTAATTGGGTTATTTGTTTTTTCCAAGTTTTACTTTTGACCCACCATGTTTCACCATGCTTAATTACCCACTTTATTTACAAGATCTAGAGCTAAATATTTGGCTGCTGTTTCCAAAGAAGAACCCCATCTTCAAAGGGTGAAGTCTTGCCACCACTGGTGGCATTCAAAAGAACCTGCCATAGACTTGGAGATCAACTCCATAATGAAATAAATGAGTAGACTCTAAATATTTTCTCTCAAGGAAACATCATTATTTTGGATGTAGAAATTAAACACACATATCATGTTAGTTGCATCAGTTTCTAATCAGACCTCCAGATTAGATACATCCATCTGAAAGCCCATGTCACCATATTTCTAGAGGAAATAAAATAATAGATAATTAAGCCACTTTTCCAACTTTTGATTTCTGTTTTAAAACGTGTCTTAAGCTTTTAATTCTACACCAGTCATTTTCACCCAGTTGGCCAGGAGCTTCATGACAGAAGTAGGACCAAGATGGTCAGAAATGGACTGAGAGAGCTGGTCCTAGCCAATGTGAGTTACCTGAGTTCAAGGAAGATGAAGTATGTGTCCTCATTTTACTTGCTGTCTTCCTTCTGGATGCTCACCAAAAAGGCAAGAACTTGAAGGCATTTAAAAAATGTGTATGGTGGATGCATAATAAATATATCTGTTTATAGGCACTGTAAATGCATCATGACTGAAATTCCTGAACCAGCTCATCATCTCAGGCCAGAGCTGTCGTTCAGCTGATATTGTGGCCTCTGATCTCCCTGCCTTTATTCACAATGGCCCTGGACCTACCTTACATTTGCAAGCAACATAATCAATGTTTGGCCCTGCTTTAAAGTCACTTCCTTTGCTGCCTTTGAAGCAGCTCCTTCTTCCATGCAGCCTTTCGGTCTTCTGTGTCCCCTCAGTGGCACCGTGGGGCTGTCGATCTGGTGGGCTTGCTTGTAGGAAACTGCCCTGTTTGGGCATGTTCACTTGTCTCTTGGGAAATGCAGTGCAGAGCTGGAAGCCTCATTGCTATACTTTCCTTTTGCTTGATTCATGATAAATGGAGGAAAAGGCCTTATGTAACAGAACAGTGGTGCGAGCTATTTTGGGATCCTTCACATTAACCCATAATTAACCACATGATGGGCATCATTAGCGTTTTATTAATAGACAATATCTCTAGGAAGAAAAACACCCCAGGGATACTGAAAGCTTTTCTCACATAGCTAATGAGTGTAACTGTTTACTATATACAAAGCGCTGCAGTAATTGCCACACCCATTCCTGACATTGACCCTACCATAATCAGTAGTTATTGGCCCCAGTTTGCATATGGGGACACTGAGGATGGAGAACTTAGGTACTACACCCAAAGTCGGACAACTGGTAAAACGCATAGTGTAGGTCTGTCTGACTCCATAGCAAATTTCACCCATTACACTTCACAACCTCTGATCTGTCAAATGGGAATAATAATTCCTGTTTCATGGTGGTGCTAAGATGATTAAGTGAGATGTCATGTGGAAGCCATATAGCATAGTTCCCAGCGTGTTCTACGAAAGTGGGTTTGCAGTATTTTGTGTAAAAGGCCAGATAGTAAGTATTTTAGTCTTTGCAGGTCGTGCCGTGTGAAAGCAACCACAAACAATCCTAAATGAATTGGGCATAGCAGTGTTCCAATAACACACTATTTACAAACGTAATTGCTAGGCATGCTTTGTGGGCCTCTACTTTACAAGGTTAAAAATATAAACTTTTGATATTATTTTCATCA